AATTAATCCTTTGTCTTTCTTTAATTTCTCTTTGAAACTACCCGTGTTTATAGTTTAAATGCTAAGATGTTCATTTCGCAAGCTAAGGTCTCAAGACATATAAAAATTCTTTGTTTTAAGAAAATCAAAGCTTTTATCTAAATAATCTGGATTAGCTTAAAAAAAATGGGGTTAAAACATTATAATGTGCTTTTAAATAGACAAAAAAAATATAGTATATGTGCGGGTATAGAAATATCTATGTGCACCAAAATGATAATGTTCAAATGGGGGGGCATGTCTTTTTTGTGATAACCTAAAAAAGATAAATAGGAGGGTCCTCAACATTTGAGTCTATCTCTAAATTATAATAAGGCATGCTGTATCCAAGTTTCAAAGTCATAGGTCAACTCATTATTTGCCAACCATAGATCATCTAAAGCTCAACCATAGATCATCTAAAGATCAACCATAGATCAGATAAAAGTTCAACCATAGATAAGTTAAAGATCAACCATAGATCAGCTAAAGATCAACCAGAGATCAGCTAAAGATCAACCATAGATCAGGTAAAAGATCAACCATAGATAAGCTTAAGATCAACCATAGACAAGTTAAACATTAACATTAAATCAGTTAAAGATCAACCGTAAATCAGTTAAAGATCAACCATAGATAAGCTTAAGATTAACCATAAATTAGATAAAGATGAACCATAGATAAGTTAAAGATAAACATTAAATCAGTTAAAGATCAACCATTGATCAGGTAAAAGATCACCCATAGATAAGCTAAAGATCAACCATAGATAAGTTAAAAATAAACATTAAATCAGTTAAAGATCAACCATATATCAGATAAAGATCAACCATAATCAGAATATTGTCAGAATTAGACACTGCTTCCAACTGGAAAAACGACGAAATCCTCAACATGTTTCATTAATATCTTCGCTTTTAAACTAAAAATCGATTTGTTCAAATTTTGATTTCTGTGTAACAGGGACAGGCGGACAAATACAATAAAGAAAATTGTGTGAAAATTGTGCTTTTGAGATGTAAAAACGATTAAATTGTGGCTCAAAATAAGGTTGAATGAATAGCGTTATGAATCGGTCATGCATTTCTACAAATGGGGATTCACTTAAATTAAGACGAAATTGACAGTCCCTTCCAACAACAAAAGCAATACACAATTGAAATCAGCTAAAGATCAACATTGAATCAGCTAAAGATGAACCATAGATAAGCTAAAGATAAACCATAAATCAGCTGAAGATCAACAATGTATCATATAGAGATCAACCCTAGATATGCTAATTATCAATATTGATTCTGCTTTAGATCAACCATAGATCAGATAAAGATTAGTCAAACATAAGATAACGATCAACCATATAGATCAGCTAAAGATCAACCATAGATCAGCTAAAGATCAACCAGAGATCAGCTAATGATCAACCATAGAATAGCTAAAGATCAACCAAAGATCCGCTAAAGATCAACCATATATCAGTTAAAGATCAACCAGAGATCAGCTAAAGTTCAACTATATATAAGCTAAAGATCAACTATATATCAGTTAAAGATCAACCACATATCAGTTAAAGATCAACCAGAGATCAGATAAAGATGAACCATATACCAGTTAAAGATAAATCATATATCAGTTAAAGATCAACCAGAGATCAGCTGAAGTTCAACCATATATCAGTTAAAGATCAACCAGAGATCAGCTAAAATATTTCAACTATATATCAGCTAAAGATCAACCCCTGTATATATAATGTTCTAATAGTTAAATTAAGTTCTCCTTTTGAGATTGATGACTTAACTAACTTAACTCTTAAATAATTTGTTCAAGTTAAGATAAATATTTAATTTTGTTTGAACTAATTAGTGAAATGAAAACAGTTGCTAAGGGAATTATGAAAACAAAATGAAAGAATAATTTTTAAACTGAAAAGTTTTCCTGCTCTATTGTTCTCTTGTTCTCTTAATATTTTTTCTCTTGTTCCCATATTCTCCTGTTTTCTGGTTCTCTTGTTCTCCTGTTCTTTTCTTCTTTAGTTCTCTTGTTCTCATGATCTCTTTTTCTTTTTGTTCTCTTGTTCTATTATTATCTAGTTCTATTGTTTACCTGTTCTCTTGTTCTCCTATCTCCTTGTTCTCTTGTTCTCCTTTTTCCATCTTCTCCTGTTTTCTTGTTCTTTTGTTTTCTTGTGCATATGTTCTCTTGTTCTTATTTTCTCCGGTTTTCTTGTTCTCTTGTTCTTATGTTCTCCGGTTTTCTTGTTCTCTTGTTTTTTTGTTCTTATGTACTCTTGTTAACCTGTTCTCTTGTTCTTTTGTTCTCTTGTTCACATTTTCTCCTGTTTTCTTGTTCTCTTGTTTTCTTGTTCTTTTGTTTTCTTGCTCTTTTGTTTTCTTGTTCTTATGTTCTCTTGTTTTCTTTTTCCAATGTTCTCTTCTTCAATTTTCCTACACATTTTCCGGTTTTCCACTTTTTTTGTTCTATCAATGCAAAAAGTGACATTATATTTTTATTATTTGTTTTTATTCTATTTTCTTTCAACCCCCCCCCCCCATATATAGAGTTCCAGTAATATTTCTACTTATAAAACAGTTTGTATGTTTGGTTTCTATAGTTTGCCAAACCAATTAGTTGTTTGTTTACATTATTCATCAATGTTGGTGTTTTCTCATCTCCGTAAACATGAACATTGAACACGCATCAATATGAACACAAACATTGAACACACATCAATATGATTATGAACATTGAAAACGCATCAATATGAACATGTACATTGAACACGCATCAATATGATTATGAACATAGAACACACATCAATATGAACATGAACATTAAACACGCATCAATATGATTAAGAACATAGAACACGCATCAATATGAACATGAACATAGAATTAGTCGAAAACAAATATAAAATATGAAAGTAAACACGATTAAATAAACATGAATATCATTATTAAATAATTGAAAATGCAAAATAAAGATGAACATAATTACGAAATTAATCAAGATGAACGATGGGCATGAATTTAAAGAAACTGTTCACTTATTTGGGTAATTAAAACCAATCAGAACGCTCCATTCACAGTCACGTGATCAAAGTTAATCTAATAGAAGCCTTCCTATTGGTCGCCATCCTTGTCATGAAAGACATCACTACTCACGTCGTCTTTATAGTCTCATCCTTTGTGGGTAACCCTTTATGAATATTAATTGAGGACGTAGTATAGTTTGAAATATTTACATTCATATAAATCGACCGCATTTCCAGTAAACGTTAAACATCTTTTTATCCCAAAAAATAGCACAACCAATGTTGTAAAATGATATCCAGTAATTTTAGAATCTTGTGTTTGTGTCTGTTTCTCAAATGTTTGTGTGTCTTTGTAAAAGAAAAAGAAAAAAGATTGAGAAGAAGATTTCCCTTGGGTCGGTATTTGCATTATCAGTTTTCATTTTCTATCAAATTACATCTTTAATATATAAATAATATTCAATTTTCTGCAAATATCTTTTCCTTATTAAAAATTCAAAAAGAAATTGAGTCTTTGACACAAACCCACAATTTCTAATTCCTGTTTCTTATCAACCAGACTTAAAATTTAAATTAATTGATCTACCGTTTGGGTTGGAAAGATATGAGCATTAGAAAATCTGTTTTTATTTCATATTTGTACTTTCTTCTCTTAAAGGGAGACGTCATGTCAGCTGACCATGTAATTGTAGAGTAACATGTCGGATTCACAAAGGGATCCTTTAAACCTTTTTCTGCTCGAGGCAGAATGAGATTCCCTTATTTGTTTCGCATAAAGTTATAGATAACAATTTTTGTATAATTAAAAAAAATACATGAAAGTGTACATCTAGCTTTCAGAGCAGCATCAACTGGCCCTGGCTCGGCGCTTCTAAAAAGTATTCAGAGTTACAGGGTGAGAGAAAAAAAATATAGAAACTATCCCCCCCGTATACACCCCTGCACGCAAATTGAAAAGAAAAAAAAACGGAACTACAAGAAACATTGAAGGCCTGCATTAATCTTTTAACGCTGTACTAACCTAGAGAATACAGATTTTTCACTTAGCTGGATCCATATTTTGCTACTGGCAAGCTTTAAATATTCATTAATAGCAAGTATAGCAAGTATCAGAACTTGTTGAAACGACGAAAACTCTTTCGATTTCTTTCAGTCTTGAAAGAGTTAGGTTTGAAGCTGTAAAAGTATGCAAAATATATAATGATTTAAACATGCAATAGTGGCTTTAAAAGTAATAATCAGATTCCAAGACTCTAGCTATAGATTTGCATCGAAAACTTAGAATTTAAAGCAAAAAAAGATTTTTGAATATAAATTAGCATATCCTTTCAGTGTTAAAGATTGATTTTATGCACTTTTATAATCGACATTAATATATTTGATTTTAATTAGATTTTTTGTTATCATTTCAGCTGTTTAAAAAATTAATGGATACAAACCAATCATATGTAAATAGATGTTTGAACTCTTGCTTTAAGACCTTGTATTTGAGCCTTATTTTACGAGGCTTCAACGGCGTTTAATGTCTATCTCCGATTTTGACTTTTAATGTTGCTTTTTATCCGATTTTTTTCGTGGATTTCGAAAATAAAAAAATGTTATGGCAAAATTGTTCAATTCTAACAATCCATATCGGATCATATAAAGTCCTACAAAAAAAAATGGGCCCGATCGGTTCATCTGTTTTAACGTTTATCAGTTACAAACAAACAAAAAAAGACCCAAACAGACAAACAAACATGCAAAGAATATATATATAGATAATACACGGATAAAGCGATCAACCACCCCCCCCCTTCCGAAAATTCTACATACTCAAGAATTGAATGCAAAGAAAAATTTGCCTCTGCATGAGTGCAAGCGTCTCAAATTCCTAGTGTTTTCAGAGTTTTTAAGTGAGAACATGTCTATTTTCTTACAACTGGACACTAACGAGGATATAACTACAAAATATTCAAACATTTGCATTTAATCTCAAACAATTCGCAAGTTCAGAAAATGTCAAGGAAAAATGAAGATTAAAAGAAGATAAAGCTCCCATCAGAACTAGAAAAATAGTTGCGACGAGATGATTTATTCTGTATCAAAGCAAAAGTAATAAGTATCCAAAAAAACTAACTTTGCAAAATCATAAGTTTAGTATGAAGCCAAAAAGGCGGAATAAATGAAGAAAGGAAAGCCGTAGACTGGTCAAACTAACAGTTCGTTGTGTTTTTAGTTTAGAAAATATTGTTACATGTGAGACACTTCAAATATGAAACAGAAAATACAAAAAAAAAGAATTCCGTCATTGCTTTGATTAAACAATAACAAGAAATAGACAAAAACTTGAGGGAGATATGTAGAAAATGTTATCTGAACGAAATAAAATCAGTACTATTGGAGAAAATTAGAAAATGCGGGAGAAAAGAAATAAGATAGATAAACCCTGAACTTTGAACAAGTAATGGGAAAAACTGTCAAAACTAAAAAAGTTTCAATTCAGAAGAAATAAAGAATTCCATGGAAGAGATTTTAAGAATCAGATAAACTAAAAGTTAAGAAAAAAGACAAAGCTATTCTCTGAATTTGTGGTAAAAAAACAAAACGCTCAGTTAGTAGCACTTAGAGATGAAACAAGAATACTTAGCAGATTACGGTAAACAAAACTGATTAACAAGAATTTAAGGAGAAACAATTAGAAAAAAACTGATAAACACGATTTAAAGAAGGAACTGATAAGCACGAATTAAAGAAGGAACTGATAAGCAAGAATGAAAGAAGGAACTGATAAACAAGAATACCTTAGGAAGAAAATGATAAACAAGAGTTTAAAGTAGAAACCTTCAGAAGGAACTGATAAACAAGAGTTAAAGAAGGAACTGATAAACAAGATTTGAAGAAGAAACCTTCAGAAAGAACTGATATACAAGAATTTAAGAAGAAACTGATAAACAAGATTTAAAGAGGAAACCTTCAGAACGAACTGGAAAACAAGAATTAAAGAAGGAACTGACAAACAAGAATTAAAGAAGGAACAGATTAACAAGAATTAAAAAAGGAACTGATAAACAAAATTTACAGGAGAAACCTTCATAAGGAACTGATAAACAAGATCTAAAGAAGAAACTTTTAAAAGGAACTGATAAAGAAGTATCCTGAAGGGACGGAAATATCAAGTATCCTAAAGGGACGGATAAATCAAGTATCCTAAAGGGACGGAAAATTCAAGTATCCTATAGGGACGGATAAATCAAGTATCCTAAAGGGAGGGATAAATCAAGTATCCTAAAGGAACGGATAAATCAAGTATCCTAAAGGGACGGATTAATCAAGTATCCTAAAGGGACGGATAAATCAAGCATGCTAAAGGAACGGATAAATCAAGTATCCTAAAGGGACGGATAAATCAAGTATCCTAAAGGGACGGATAAATCAAGTATCCTAATAGGACGGAGAAAGCAAGGATTCCAGACGAAGAACGTATACGGAAAAAGGAGGAGAATGGAGAAAAAGGAAGATGTCCGGGTTCAATGGCAGGATGGAGTAGGAAATATTAGAATTCATACTGGAGAGGAGAAACAAACTAATACTTTGAAGATCAGGTAAATATTGATAGTTTTCAAATAACTTTATAAAATACTTGACTTGAATTTTAAGTGTCCCTCCATTCGCAACGGTACCCTTAATAAACTAAAACTGATTAAGAATGTTAATATAACGTTGCTTTTTTAGCTTGAAAACTGTTTAATTTTGTAACACTTCTCTATTGTTTCTAAAGTAAGAATTGCAAAAGTCACTTTTGAATATCTAACTCATACTTTTTCAGACAAATCTTTTAAGGATTCCTGTTTAAATAGGGCCATGCCACACTATAATGGAATTAAGGAAAAGAAAATAGTTCTAAAAAATGAAATAATAGACAAAAAAGAACAATGGAGACATCCAGGAAAAGATTTCGAATTCAACAAAACTACCATAAAGTTAAAACATTAAAAAGGTCCAAAGTATTAAAAAATGTTGAAATCTAAAATTCTCATGATCAAGGAACAGCATTTGTTTATATTCTTCATAATTTGTGGATCAGCCACATTCGTGGAATATTTGTAAAGTATTAGAAATCCTGCTGAAAGGATTTTCTTTAAACAAATTCTTTTAAATTTTCAATATTGTTAAAAATTGTCAAATTGACTGAAACGAAAGTATTTTTTCCAAAATGCTAAGGTCGACCCTATTATATTTCAAGACTTGGATTTTTCAAATATTTCTCAGTTCAATTCAGATCAACGGAAAAGATTTTTAGCTTTAATTATATTTTTATAAGTCTGGAAAATTACCTTTAGCTTGTTGCAATATTTATATTTTTTAAAGGAATCTTTAAATAAAGTGAGCTTAAAAAGCAATGTATGCTTTCACGTCTGAAAATAACGAAACAAAGTACATCCTGTCTGTATCGACATCTATTCAGTCATATTTTTATCTCATGTTCAAAATCTGTCATAAGTAAGGTAAAAGACCTCTATACAAAAAAGTACAAATACTATTTAGAAAAATCTTCATTTAACAGGGGTAAAAAAGTACAAAATACTATTTCTAAAAACCTCCAATTAACGAGGCCGGTAATAAAGTACAAAATACTATTAGAAAAATCTTCATTTAACAGGGGTAAAAAAGGGTTCCAAAGTTTAGTGTCAAGGACTTGAAGACTCATATAAACTGTGGAATAGGAAAACGACATTTAAGTAATCTTTTTATTTGTTATTTGGGAAAATTCCAAACATGAAATAAAAACTAAAAACCCCCGCCATCGATTGCAATGCACACTCTATTGGATTCCAGGAATTCCCCGAATTTCCGTAAAATTGAACAAATATTTTCAAATTAAATGTTGCTTCTAACTTAGTAAATTGACTTTATATAATCCTTTGTTCCGGGTTTATAGATTCCAGTATAACCAATATGTAGGATTAGATTCTAGGGTTTCTAGTGTAAAGGGTTGCCCACAAAAGAATAAGACTTCAGGGACGACTGTACGGAGTTCATTTAATTTTTTTTCATATTCACCGGTACAAGCAAATGTAAACTTCCTTCTGTTAAACTAGTATATCCTTCTCTTCTGAAATACAAGAACCTGAATATCCTTCTCTTCGGAAATATAAGAACCTGAATATCCTTCTCTTCTGAAATACAAGAACCTGATTATCCTTCTCTTCTGAAATATACGAACCTGAATATCCTTCTCTTCTGAAATATAAGAACCTGAATATTCTTCTCTTCTGAAATACAAGAACCTGAATATTCTTCTCTTCTGAAATACAAGAACCAGAATATCCTTCTCTTCTGAAATATAAGAACCTGAATATTCTTCTCTTCTGAAATACAAGAACCTGAATATCTTATATTCTGAAATACGAGAACCTGAATATCCTTCTCTTCTAAAATACGAGAACCTGAATATCATTCTCGTCTGAAATACAAGAACCTGAATATCATTTTCATCTGAAATACAAGAACCTGAATATTATTCTCATCTGAAATAAAAGAACCTGAATATCATTCTCTTCTGAAATACAAGAAACTGGATATCCTTCTCTTCTGAAATACAAGAACCTGAATATCCTTCTCTTCTAAAATATAAGAACCAGAATATCCTTCTCTTCTGAACATACGAACCTAAATATCCTTCTCTTCTGAAATACATGAACCTGAATATCCTTCTCTTCTAAAATACATGAACCTGAATATCCTTCTCTTATGAAATACAAGAACCTAAATATCCTTCTCTTCTGAAATACAAGAACCTAAATATCATTCTCTTCTGAAATACAAGAACCTAAATATCATTTTCTTCTGAAATACAAGCATGTTGAATTCTAATCCTTAAAGTTGAATATACCCCGAAACCAGGTGAAAGTAAAGTACTTTATCTTCTTTCCAGAACCTTGGGAAATCCAGGGTTCAGGAATGAATTTCATATTTTCTCAGAGAGTTTGATATTTATTATCATCCTTTAAAATCCTGAAATCTTCTATGTTGTAGGTTGGATGAGATTGACTGGGTCTGGCTCCTAGGTCTGGTTTGTATCACTGCAACTATAGTTCTCTCTCTCTGTATTCTCTCAAAGCTCAAAATTTCATCATTTACAAGGAAAACATTTAGTTTATTTATCACAGATTATTCCATGGAAAAAGGACTAAAGACTTAATATCGGTTTGTGGAGAAATGAGATATCCTTTTTTTAGCTAAATATAGATTATTTCAACTGTTAGCTGAATCATACATTACACTCTGTGCCATGGGGAATGGCTTACAATTACGAATCCAGCATACTTAAAAAAAAAAATTAGCAAAATTATCAAATATCCTTTTCATATCACATGTTTCTTTCTCTCATCTCTGCAATTTAACCAACTCATCCACGCTTCTTTCTCTCATCCCAATTTACCCAACTCATCTCAGTTTCTTTCTTTCATCCCAATTTACCCAACTCATCCGCATTTCTTTCTCTCATCCCAATTTACCCAGTTCATCTCAACTTCTTTCTCTCATCCCTGCAAATTATCCAACTCATCCACGTTTCTTTCTCTCATCCCAATTTACCCAATTCACCTCAACTTCTTTCTCTCATCCCTGAAAATTATCCAACTCATCCACGTTTCTTTCTCTCATCCCAATTTACCCAATTCATCCCAACTTCTTTCTCTCATCCCTGCAAATTATCCAACTCATCCCAGTTTCTCTCTCTCATCCCAATTTACCCAACTTCCCAGTTTCTCTCTCTCATCCTTGGAATTTACCCAACTCATCCACGTTTCTTTCTCTCATCCCAATTTGTCCAACTCATCCAGTTTCTGTCTCTCATTCCTGAAATTTACCCAGTTCATCCCAGTTTCTTTCTCTTTTCCCAATTAGCCCAACTCATCGACGCTTCTTTCTCTCATCCCAATTTACCAAACTCATACCAGTTTCTTTCTCTTATCCCAATTTACCAAACTCATCCCAAATTACCAAACTCATCCCAGTTTCTTTCTCCCATCCCAATTTATCCAACTCATACCAGTTTCTTTCTCTCCTCCCAATTTACCCAATTCATCCTAATTTTTTTCTCTTAGCCCTGCAATTTACCCAGTTACTTTCTCTCATCCCAATTTGTCAAACTCATCCCAATTTACCAAACTCATCCCAGTTTCTTTCTCCCATGCCAATTTACCCAACTCATCCCAGTTTCTTTCTCTCATCTCAATTTAACCAACTCATCCACGCTTCTTTCTCTCATTCCAATTTACCCAACTCATCCCGGTTTCTTTATCTCATCTCAATTTACCCAATTTATCCACGTTTCTTTCTCTCCTCCCAATTTACCAAATTCATCCTAATTTTTTTCTCTCATTCCTGCAATTTACCCAGTTACTTTTTCTCATCCCAATATATCCAACTCATCCTCGTTTCTTTCACTCCTCCCATTTTACCCAACTCATCCATGTTTCTTTCACATATTTTCAAATGAGTAACCTATTCCCAACTTATTTTTCTGATTCAGATTCTATTCACGATGACTTTTCCTGCCTTCTTCCCAACTTCTTCTATACTTATCTCAAAGTTAGCTTAATATTGTCCCGAAAAAGTTACTAATCTCTTACAACAAGTTCTAATTTTCTAATCTCTACATATCTTTTTAAACTAATGGTGTAAACTTTTGACATTTCAAACTTTGATTTTGTGATCTAACAAAATTAAAAGTTTTAAATATCAACAGGTTGGGAAGACATATGAGGATTGGAAAATTTTTGTAGTTAATTTTAACCCCTTTTACTCATATTAAAATGTTTCTTTTAACCATTGTATTTCCTAAAACTTGCCAAGTATTTGGTAGATTCTCTTGTGTAAGTTGCTGAAAAGTTATAAAATGAATTAGAACTATGAAACATTAAGATCAGCAGATCTTATCAAGACAAGATGTCAGCCTAAAACAAATTAAAAATTCTTCCCAGCTCTCTGGAGACAACAATGGATATTTCAGCTTTTATATTTTGTCGGAAACAGGGGGATCCAGTTAAAGGGAGACAATTAAAGAATAGTTTAAAGGAACTGTGCAATTTCAAGTGACCCTCCATGCACAGAAGGTAGTGTTTGGTTCACGACGGTACCCTTGAAATCTTTATCGGGTTTTAAATGCAGATAACATTTTAGTTATTCTAGCTTGAACAGTTTTTAATTCTGATAGTTCCTATACGTTAACCTGCAGTAGAAGTGCGCAAATCACCAAAATTAGAAATAATTTTTTTTTATTATTTTACATTTATATCTAATTCCTAGTTGATTAAAAAAGCTTTAAATAATCGGACATATTATCACCTTTGCATGGAGGGTAACTTGAAATCATGCATACAGTAAAGTAAAGGGGGTTTAGGATCAAACCTGAGAAATTCAGGCGTTGAACAGTACATATAAGACATCTATCTGATGTTTCTGTCTCGGAAAATGGATATAAAACTATGTCAAATTTATTTATGCATTTATGGATTTATGTATGTTTGTATGTATGCAATTTTTTATAAAAGTAGTAGGTTTTGTAAAACAGATCATATTCCTTAAATAGGCTAACAATCTGAAAACGATTTTATCCCACAGAAGCCTGATAATCTCAGGATTGCTCCTGTTAGAATTATTTAATTTTGTTTTACATTTTTAATAGATATAATTGATAATATTATTACATATGGTCCGTATTACGTCACCAAAACTTCGGGCTATGGAAGTGCAGATATACTGCGCTCTCATTGGCGGGAGTTCTTGAGACGTAATACGGACTCATAAAAAATATTATCAATTATATCCATTAAAAATGCAAAATAAAAATAGAAAAATTATAAAAGGAGCAAACCTGAGATTCTCAAGTTTCTGTGGGATTTAATCGTTTTCAGATTGTTGGCGTATTTGCTGAATATGACCTGTTTAAACCTACTACTTTTATACAAATTTTTAATATATATATATAGATTTTCGTATATTTTTGACACAGTTTTTTTTTATCAATTTCTCGAGACAGGAACATCAGTCTTAAAGGTATCGTTCAACGCCTGAGATATTGAGGTTTTATCCTTTCTCCCCCCCCCCCATTTCATTTTTCCTATACAGTCCCTTTGAGCCTGGTTTTTATTGTACAGAACATGTCTAATATTTGACCCGGCACGACCCAATAAGTATTGGTTCTGACAGCATAAAGAATCCTAGAATGAACGATTTGTATGATTTGTATGATTTGTATGATTTGTATGATTTGTACGATTTGTATGATTTGTATGATTTGTATGATTTGTATGATTTGTATGATTTGTATTTGGATCTGAATCGTCCATATTGAAGCTTTTCCACATATGCGTATATTGTAGTAGCGAATGTTTACTGGTGCAGAGATGTTCAGTTAAGAATCTAATTTCTGATTTTATTCCCCTTTATTCTTTTCCAAATACTGGATTTTCTGCACTACTTGAGTTATGTGTGGAGATTATTTACAAAATCCTTCCTCCCTGCATCCTTACACCTGCTGTAGTCAACAAACAAACTAAATTTTATATTTGAGGCGAGCAAAAACAAGAATGAAAAAATCTGGTAGAGAAACCACCAAACAAAAAACTGATATGGCCAAGGTTTGTTTATCGTTTATATAATTCTCTCAGCTGTCCAATAACTAAAGTTTCGAGAAATTTCAAATAATTTCTTGGTCTCCCCAGAGTAACATTTCTCTAGTGCAATGAAACAAATAGGATATATAAGAACTGAGAAAGTAAAACTTCTATAATTCAAGAAAAGGTTCAAAATGAGAAAACCAAAGTCAACCACTTAAAATAAGTATCTTTTCTAAAATCAATTATTTCTTTCACAATTTCTTTCTTAGGATCCAGTTGCCGAAACTATAGTTCATCTTGAAGACCTGGAGATAGAACCAAAACCTTCTCTGAATTCTAAAGAACCCGGAGCAACTCCAACCGGTTCTAGGAGAAAAGTTTCCCTGTGTTCTATAGGAATATGCTCTCAGGATCATGAAAGCAAATATTTCCGATGAATTTAATTTCTCAATTTAAATTTGAAGACATTTTCCATCTTGGTCTTATCATTCAACTTATTACTTTTAGGAGTAAGCAATATTTTCTCAAATACAGAAGCTCACATCGTGGGTTAAACGATTATTATACAGTGAAAACCAGGAAACTTTGGAAGAGAAAGACGATTTTGAGATTCAATTTATGACTTTAAATTGCTCAATGAACATGTGACATAGCAATTGTGCAGAATAAACAACCCTTTTTTAGTAAATGAGTGATTTAATTAGTCACAACTCACAAGTAAAACTTTTTGCTTTGTATAAACAACATTAATTAAGCTTTATAATTGATTTAACGTCGTTTTCCTATTCCGCAGTTTTCTGGTTCTCTTTGTATTATTGAAATATACCTTTCCATGTACAATACCGTATTCCCATCATGTTCTATTCAGCTATAGCTGATTTGGTGGGGTTTAGATATTTCCAGTTTGAGTAATGAATAATCTGTGAGCATAACTATAGATGAATGGTGTGTAGAAGGAGAAGCTGGAGAAGGAGCTCGAAGATTAAGTCAAGTTTCTCTAAACCTATCCTTGGTTCTTGAAGACGGAATATCTAAACCTTTATTCCTAACAAATAAGAAGCTAGAGTACAAAATGTGTATCGTGTAGTTGTTTCTAGAAAATATTAAAAATATATTCTTTGTTTAGAATCGCTTACACAGTTTTAAATCGAATTACACCGTCAATATGATTTGTGATAAATCAGCAATTTTTCAACAAGTAAAATTCTCCTTTGAATTTAGTAATATAAAGACAAGATTTCTATTTTCAATTTCTTCCTAAATTTAGATATTTGATACAATTAAAAAGAGGAAATATATTATTTTTTATACGTAGGGTAACCCGTAAAGGATGAGACGACTGACAGTCGTTAGGAATGTATCAGACGTTTTTTTCTTACAAGATTCCCTGGATGACGTGTTTATAACCTTGCCAAATTATTAAGTATACCATTGAAAGCCTAGATTCGGAAGACCATATAAAAGCAAAGTGTATAATTGTTGTTACAAACCGAATACTGTATACTAAAAGGTTACCAAACGTTCTAAGTTTAGAATTCAGAGAGAGAAACAAATAATATGTTTGGTTTGTGATTAGTAGTTTTATATTTTAAAAGCTACACACACCCCTTCCCCCAAATGGTAAAAAATCTAGCTTTTGTTATCTTGCAAACCTGTTCAGACAAACCTTCAGACGAGCTCTTTTTGGTCTTTTTTCCTTGTTATCTTTTTTTTCAGTGGAATTTTATTTTCGACTAAAGTCTTATTTTCTATGGATTCTGTTTTCTATTCGTACTTTTCGAAACGAACTAAAGGACCTCTGAAAATTACGTTAAAAATTCCTGAGAAAAAAATCCATTGGAGCGTAATTAGATCTAATGTGAAAAGCTCTGAATTTTTGTTGGAAAAGGCAAATTTGAAAATTTCTTAATTCTGAAAAAAATATCTGATTTGACAAAAGGAAAGGGATTAATCAAAAAGATTCTATTTCTAGATCGATATTGTTTGATAACGAATTAATTTTTCATTGTTCAGATTTGATTTAATTTGGGGTTGTACACTGAACACTATACAGTACAATTTGAAAGATAATTCAACCAAAAAAGTCATCTGAAAATTGCGAAAATGAAGTCCTAAATTTAAGCACTAAAAAACTCCTGAGGAGAAAAGTCCTTAAAATAAAAAATCTCTGTAAATAAAGTCCGACTATTTCGAGACTTTATCTTTTAAAACTTGTTTTCTGACTCCAGTATGACTTTATACTAAAAAGTCCCTGGGAGAAAGTCCTCTTACGGTGGAAAATGTATGGGAACAAAGGATGTTTACATACCATGGAAAAAAGGGACTTGATATTAATATGAAGATAAGATAGAAGAAAAGTCCTTTTTATGAAATCGTCTAAAACCTCATTTTCCCCAGACTTAAGAATTTTTTTCTTTAGGACTTTAATTTCTGTTATCTTATTTCCTAAGACTCTGATGGCAGCCATCATGTTTTTAGAAAAAAAGTCCCAGGAATTTAAAACTTAGGACTTTATTTCCAGCGAAATTTGTCCTCGGACTTCAGCAAATTGGGACTTTATAACTAAAGCTTTATTTCTAGGTTTTCTTCCAGAAACTTTTTTTCATGTAACTTTCTTTCATAGATTCAATTTGAAAGGCCCAGAAAACGCATTTTTTAAATGCTATTTCTTTTAGCACACAAAAAACCCACAACTTTGTTACATAGCTGAAGTTTTAATTTTAATTGTTTGAAGTTCAAGCAATAAAAATAACCAATGACGTGAAATTCAGATGGCCAGTAAATACTAAATCCAAATCCTTCAAAAATAGACTAAATTCATAAATTTTGATGTTAAAAGAGTATTTCTTTAAAAATTGTAAAACTTAATCCCTGAAAGGATATTTTATGCAACAAGTGGTGGTTAGATGGCAGTAAAAAAATTATATATCATGTCGTGTCTGTGCGACTGAAGGCCTACTTAGCCCATCCCGTGAAAGTTGATTTGCAGTCTGTATATATATATCTAGTCTAAGGCAACTTCTTTGGTAAGGTTGTGTAATAGTTTAATCTTTTATATCTAAGCATCACGGTATGGAAAATATGATGAATTGCATGTCCCTTCTCATCAACCCAGTTCAATACAAGGATATTGGAGACAGGGATTTCAGTCAAATCAAACAGAAACATTGGATAAAATCTTTGCCACAAACTCTGATTTACTAATATCTTTATCTTTACAACCCAGTGTCGTAAACCTTAGATATTTCAAATTATGATTTCTGTTAGATTAAATAATTGAAGTTTGAAATATCAAAGGTGTACACTATCAGGTTGCAAAGATACAAGTGATTAGAAACTTTAAGTTTGTGTTGAAAACTCAGTTCCTTTGTATCTAAACGCTCTTTGTTTATGGCAAAGACGCAATTCCTATGATTCAATTTTTCAAAGGTTCCACGTGACCCTCAGAGTAACTGTAGGTGTAATTTAACGTAGCACTTGAATTTTAAGTGGCATGTTTGATTCACAACGTTAACCTTTAAGCTTTTATTTGTGAAAAAACAGGCTACAGCAAGACTTAATTCGTGAAAAATATTGAGTAAAGGAATTGAGTCTTTGTCACAAACTATGATTTTCTAATCTCTATATCTTTGTAATCCAATGCCGTAGACCTTAGATATTTCAAACTATGAATTCTGTTAGATGAAAAAATCCAAGTTTCAAATATCAAAGGTTTACACCATCAGGTGGAAAAAATATAGGTATTAGAAAATCGGAGTTTGTTACAAAGACTCAATTCGATCATTCTAACAATATTCTTCTACTCCTGAAATATCTGCCTCCATGCGTTAAGATTAGTTCACATTATGCTCTCCTCTATACAACTATAGTTAGGAAAGACTTTTTTCAATTATACAAGAGAATGATTTATTTATGAAAATCAAATATTTACCAAATATAATCAGATTTTAAGAGATACTTAGAAATGTTATCAAATATAATTCTACTTATCACTGTTAAACAGAAGGAGAGGGTGACATTACTGGTACTTCTTTGTGACTTCGTAGCTCCCATAGTTTTCAGATATATTTATCAGAAATCAATTCATCAGATATATATTTATCAGAAATCAATTCATCAGATATATATATTTATCAGAAATCAATTCATCATATATATATTTATCAGAAATCAATTCATCAGATATATATTTATCAGAAATCAATTCATCAGATATATATTTATCAGAAATAAATTCATCAGATATATATATATCAGAAATTTTGTGAACAAACATAAAATGTCGAAATCAAAAACAAACAAAAATTTTCCGGGACATGTTTAAAATTTCTAATATGTAACCGGATACCCTTGTTCTTCGGTCTAGTTCACAGTGGGGTTGGATACAATAAAATGCAAATAAATTGGCGGCAAAATATTTGAAGGTTTGCAAACAGCTCTTAACACTTTATTGCAAGTTGTTGGGAAAAGCAAACTTTTGCAAAATAGATTTGTTTCTTTTAAAAAGTTGTTTAACAGAAATTTTCCGAATATATACCGCCTCACTTTGTATCCGAATCATATATACCACCTCACTTTGTATCCGAATCATATATACCACCTCACTTTGTATCCGAATCATATATACCACCTCACTTTGTATCTGAATCATATATTCCGTCTCACTTTGTATCCGAATTATAATTATACCGCCTCATATTGTATCCAAATCATATAAACCCCTCCCTTTGTATCCGAATCATATATACTTCCTCACTTTGTATCTGAATCTTTTATACCGCCTCACTTTATATCCGAATCAAATAAACCACCTCACTTTGTATCCAAATCATATATACCGCCTCACTTTGTATCATCGAATCATATATACCGCCTCACTTTGTATCCGAATTATATATACCGCCTCACTTTGTATCCGAATCATATATACCGCCTCACTTTGTATCCAAATCATATATACGGCCTCACTTTGTATCCAAATCATATAAACCGACTCACTTTGTATCCGAATCGCGATTATATATATCACCTCACTTTGTATCCAAATCATATATACTTCCACACTATCCATTGCTGCTTAACATATCAAAGTATTAACCCTATTCCCGCTGGGGGGGGGTCAATTTGACCCCCCCCTGTAGTTTTTTTTACATAACTCAAAAAGTATTGGTCTGAGGCTGTTGAAATTTTCTGACTTTTCTTACATACCCAAAGCCCTCCCTTTAGGCCTAAAACCGGGCTTTAATACTAACTGCCTGAGTCCTCAGGCACACTGCCTGAATGACTGCTTTTGACTGTAGCAAACTAAATCTTTGTTTTGACCCACTTTCACTTGTCAGATTTTGATAAAATTTAGCTTTTTGGAAAGCCTATGACATAAGGAAACGGATTGCACAAGTTTTGCGAAAAAAAAATTGCAAATTTTTTGCAAACAACCTGTCTAAGGAAATTTGCACATTTTTAGTTTTTCTTGATTAAAAATCAGGTTATTTAAAATTTTGCAAAAATTTTTGCATATTTGAAATGGCATGGTCAAGGGCTTTTCAAAAATGTATAATTTGTCATTTTTTGGACAAATTTTTTTTTGCAAACATTTTTACTATAAAACTGGATTTTGCGATAAAAAATTCAATTTTCGCAAATTTGCAAATTTTTTTGCAGATTCTAAAAGTAGAGCACAAGAGCTTTCTAATGATGTATCATTTGTCATATTTGGACATAAAACATGGGATTTAGAGGGGGGGGTCAAATTGACCCCCCCCCAGCGTATCCTGGTTTTCAAGTACCCCAGCGGGGATAGGGTTAACAGGAACCCACATAGATTAATATGGAAATATGTGTAGATACAATGTACATTATAATGAAACATTTTTAGCTTAAGTTTTTAAGATAAAAATGGCAAAATTACTATTGATTTTTTCGTAAGAGTTTGCAACCTTTGAACCCCCATGACAACCAAGGAGTGCAATACAAAAATTTTCAAGGAAGGGCGCTTACATTTTTAAAACTTTATTAATCTAACCATAAAACCTATATCTAGTAAAATCGTAATTCCAATTTACAAGAATGAATAAAAATATGAAATCTTGATTCTGGATTTGAGTTTCCAATACTTGAAAACTTAATCTTCATCTTATGAGGGGGGAGAAGTCCAGGTTTCCTTTCAAAGATTGTGTGAAATAAGGAATCTAATGCATTACAGAGCGACGGTGAATAGAAATTTTCTTTTTTATATCAAAGAAGATTTCCAGATTATATATACAGTAGTGGTGAAACATTTTTATAAAACCAAAAAAGTATTCTTTCAGGAACTATAAGACATGTTTATAAAAGGTATTTTTCAAAAAATGTCAATGAAACAGAAACGTTTTGAAAACTCAAGTTTGAATCAGTTTGCAGAATTGTAGTATGTTAAAAATTTATGAAGTTTAGAGAAAGTAATTTTTTCCTCAAAAAAATCCAAGTTATACATAAAATACCTAAAATATTGTTATCTCCATAACTCGGTCAATTTTCAGAATATTTTTAATCTGAAAATTAATTTGAACTCAGATATTTAAACCGTGTTTAATGATTTCAAAATGTTAATTTTAATCTTTACCAGAATTTTTTATCACTTTTATTACTATTAAACTCCATTTGCAATGGCTATTTTTAATTTTCTTTAATTTCTCTAAAAAATACTTTTTGTAAACATGTCTTAAAATTCCTAAAAGCATGCTTTTTGGATATTAAAAATTATGCAAGCAAACTGTTTTTACATATCTAAGCATGTTCGTTAAATTTTATGAAACTTAGTTGATAAATTAGGGTATATTCGGGTATATTTGGTACTTTTTTAAGATATTGATAATTCTGTATCCTGTGTTATACAGTGTGTAAAGCATCTATGGTTTATTAGGCACACATTAGACTCTCAACCATATATATTCATTCATATCTTGTATTCAGCAGAACTTTTTCGTGTTTTTCATGTCATACATTCATATTCATACATACATACTTTTCATTTAATCCTTTACATTCATTCATTCATATCTTCTATTCATCAGAACTTATACTTTTTTGTCTTAGGTTCATACTTATACATACATTACTTTTCAACCAAATACACAATTTTAAACTTCCAGGCTTTGATAGTCAAAAGAGTAGCCCAAAAAGTATGAAATTGAAAATGCTACGATTGTACATTTAATGCATGGATATGGGTTTAAATGCTCGTTTGTTGTGAATAATGAATGATAAACTATCAACCACGAAACAATAATTTCTATTTAACTTTTCAGGCAAACTGAGTTATATATGAACGTTGAAAATTGTACAGGGCCATGAAATGAAGCGTACATGTACATGAGGCTGGGGGAGGAATAATCATGAATCTTGTACGCAGAGCACTTAGCTGTGTACATAAAGAAACACATGACGTAGGAACACAAACAGGTGTGCTCAGCATTATTTTATAGAATTCTTTATGTTGCAATTAAAGTTTTTAAACTCTTATACTCTGAGAGAGTAGGAACTGATGCAGCGGCAAATTGAACCCCAAAAATGTTTGTTATCCACTTCTTAATAAAGCCTTGGTTATTTGTTCCTCTTGGTCTGTTATTTATCCTTTTTCAATCACTCTCAGGGTATGTCCATCATTAAACATATTATCCCTGAAGGAAGAGAGGCTGCTCTCATTGTATGTCCATCACTAAACATATTATCCCTGAAGGAAGAGAGGCTGCTCTCATTGTATGTCAATCACTAAACATATCATCCCTGAGGGAGGGGTGGTTGCTCTCAGAGTATGTCAATCACTGAATATATCATTCCTGAGGGAGGGGTGACTGTTCTCAGAGTATGTCCATCACTAAACATATCATCCCTGAAGGAGGAGTGGTTGCTCTCAGAGTATGTCAATCACTGAATATATCATCCCTGAGGGAGGGGTGGTTGCTCTCAGAGTATGTCAAAAACTTAATATATCATCCCTGAGGGAAGGGTGGTTGCTCTCAGAGTATGTCAAACACTGAATATATCATCCCTGAGGGAGGGGTGGTTGCTCTCAGAGTATGTCAATCACTGAATATATCATCCCTGAGGGAGGGGAGGCTGCTCTTAGGGTATGTCAATCACTGAATATATCATCCCTGAGGGAGGGGAGGCTGCTCTTAGGGTATGTCAATCACTGAATATATCATCCCTTATGTTTTTATATGTTTGTTTTTTTATATGTTTTGTATATTGATATGTTTTGTATTTTAAAATGTTTTGTATATTAATCTGTTTTGTATTTGATATTTTTTGTATATTGATATGTTTTGTATATTGATATGTTTTGTATATTGATATGTTTTGTATTTTGATAGGTTTTGTATTTTGATAGGTTTTGTTTGAATATGTTTCGTTGGGATTTGTTTCGTAATGAAATGTTTTGTATGTGCTCCGTCTTTTATGTGTCCTTATTATATTAATCAAGTCAATCTGATATTTGTATCACTTTTTATTTCAGAATCTGTAAATTAAAGTTTACTTTAAGTTCCTCTGAGGTCTTGTGTTTCAAATTGTTTTATCATCTTAAATTGAAGGATGGTGTATTGTGTACAGTGTACAGTGAACAGTTTACTCACTATAATTGAAACCTGAAGAACAAACAATTAAACTGGATCCTTAGAGTTTGTAGATTACACCAACCATGTTTTTATTTATCTCAAGTATGGGGTCAGAAACCTTCAAACAGATTTTTAAAAATAGTTCATCGATTTAGCAGATTTAATTAATTTAGCAGATGTTAAAAAACCAGACCACAAAATAGACATTTTGGGAACTATCCGTAGGAAAAAAGTAGAAATAGATTAAAGGAGAGTTGTAAATAGAATAGAAAGACCAAAAGGAAATCAGATTTTGTCACAAATTCTGTTCTTGTTTATTCCTATATCTTTGCATCTTTGATATTTCAAGTAGAGGTTTGAAATATCTAAGGTTTTTTAAAGAAAGTTTTCGTTTGTGGCAAAAACTCAGTTTCTTTGAATTTAAAAATCTAGACGCTTTTCATCTTTGTTAGTTTTAGGTCTCGAAGTTTTTAATAAAATGTAAATTATGTGAAACTTCCAAGATCTTTAAATTTAAAATATGTTTCTAAAGCCTGGACTAAAATATTGGTTTAGGATCAAGATGGATAGATGAATCGACCCAAACAGACCTGAAATTCAATTCTCTTCACCTATTTAACTCTTTAAAGTTGAGAAGAGATGGTTCTAAAGATTTCATCTTAACGGAGACCAAATATGACGGATCCGTCAATACATCCACAATAGACTCAGGTTAAACTTGCGTTTTCATAAAATTGTCAAGATGTTATGTTATTTAAATTATGTAACCTCAGCGAAATTCTATATTTAAGATTTTGATTTCTAAATAACATTGCCCTGACTTCCTTTTATTAAGAAGTAAATGATTGATTTGTGTAGAATTAAAACCAGAAAAACAAATGTAAGGTCGTCTTCAGCATAAATTACCATTTATTGAGAACCAGAAACCGGATCATGTCGTCTTCTATTTCTATAATTATTGAATATTCAAGGATTTTGTATAATTCATTCATTCCACAGTTTTCTTGTTCTCATTGTACTTAACTAGTGATAACATTTTCATTGAAAAATAGTTTTGGGTATATGAATGAATATAAAAAAATATAAAATTTCTGAAATTGAGTTTTTGTCACAAACTCAAATTTTCTAATCCCTATATCTTAGAAACCTGATGGCAAATGCTTTTCAATTTTTAAACTTAGATTATTTGATCTAACAGAATTCATAGTTTTAGATATCAAAGGTCTACGATATTTTCTTGCAAAGATACAAAGTTCATAAAATCAGAGTTGGTGACAAAGACTGAAATAGTGAATACAAACCAGCTCAGAAAAATTCTGATTCGTGCATCAAAGTTTTTTTTTAACATATCCATATATAACATTTGCAACTTTAATTTTAAATTTTAATGTTCAAACTAAAAGCTTGTCTAGTATTTATTCTACGTTTAGTATTTCACAAAGGTTAAAAGTTAACCCCGGAGGGGAAAGTTTAAATTGGAAATTAGATTAAATTTGGCTGGTTTGCGACCCACCAGAATTTTAGAAAAGGTTAAATTTTATATTTTCCGTGAAAATATATTTGTTCAAGTCAAGTCAATTAGTTAATTTCCAAAATATATTTGTTCAAGTCAAGTCAATTAGTTAATTTCCAAAAACTTCCCAAAGCATGAAACATTTCGAAAATACAATAAAAATGTTTAAAGTTTTTTTGATCATTTTTCATTTTATTTATGCTTTTGTGAGCGCTTTTGATATCCAATATGGACATTTAAGGATCCATGCATGATCTATAATTATTGGTTATCCTGAAGGGTATATGAAAATGTAAATAAAGTAATCTGAAGGTCTGCATAAGATGAAGATGAATGCTAGTATTTAATACACAAAGTTCTCAGTTCTTATCACCATAACTCAATATTACTTATTCCATTACCTCAGGTTTTTTGCATCTTCTTCTTATTATTTTACCTTAATAAATTGTCATTGTGTTTTTGAAAGACTATACAGTGCCATAAACGATTTACAAAAAGCCAAGCACTGAAAAATATGAAATATGAACAATTTTGTGAATAGACTGACTTGCAGGTTAATAATACAGAAAATAAGTAACTCGGATGAGAAAATGGGGAGAATTGGGCCCGGACAAATAATTGTTGTGGTTTGTCATATTCAGTCTTCGTACGCATAAATATATTACCATAACCGTAATAGGGGGGCTTCTTTTATTTAATGATTTTACATGATGTAGAAGAAAAAATGAAAAATTAGACATTAAAGGAAAGTTTTATCCTTTTGATATTTTTTACCCAAAAATTCAGCAAGTATATTTCTTTAAAGATATTTGGCAATCCACACTATCTGACCTAAGAGGAGAAAAATTATATGAGGGAAAAATTAGACATCAAAAGGAATTTTTTTAAAACTTTTAATATTTTTTACCCAAAAATTCATCAAGTAAACCCCTTGATTTTTTGCCGCTCCACGTAAAAAACTTGAACATAAAAAGGGATGTTTTTATCCTTTTAGATACTTTAGATCCAAAGATTCAACAAATTAAACTAAAATTTGAGTTGAGGGAATTATTTCTAAACCAAGCAAAGTCTACGTATAAAAGAATAAGGTTCTTTAATATAAATAAAAAACTAATTAATATTTTTTCAAATAGGGGTTTTTATGGGGGGACAGAATTGTTATGCGCTAGTAATCTTGGTGTCTGATCCATCCGGTCTGGTCTCAAATTAATGATGTTATTCCAGATAGAAACATGATCAAATACCCGTGGAAAGCTACAAAAAAAATAATTTCACTCCATGATGCACAGATGACAATGTCCGATTCACAATGGTAGCATAGAAACTTTTTTTGTGAAAGGTATGGTCGTTCTTTTAGGTCTTAAAGGGTTTAATTCTAATAAATCATATAGGTTTTTTCTGCAGTAGAACAGTTTTTTTTAAAGAAACCACAAATGAAAATTGTAAAAAGGAATTGAGTTTTGTCACAAATTCTGATTTTTAAATCGCTATATCTTTGCAACTTGACGGTGTAAGCCTTTGATATTTCAAACTATTATTATTTGAACTAAAATAATTCATAGTTTGAAATATCTAAGGTCTCTAACATTAAAATGCAAGGATATAGGGATAAGAAAATCAGAATTTGTGACAAAACTCAATTCCTTTATACTAAATTCATACTTGAGCAGAAAAAGATTTGAATAGTACCTTTGTTAATCGGACATTTCCATCTTTCCATCCGTCACTTGAAATTACGTTTACAGTCCCGTTTACAGTCCCGTTTACAGTCCCGTTTACAGTCCCGTTTACAGTCCCGTTTACAGTCCCGTTTACAGTCCCTTAAAGTAAACTTTCAAAAACTTTACAATTAATTCTAAAATATTTTCTAGGTGTTGAAAGTTGGTGTACACAGTCCACACAAATAGAGGATAAACGGAACATATTTCTTGAGAATGAAGAAACGGAAAAAATAAAGGATCCTGACGAAGGATTAGAACTTGAAGTAGATAGTAAACAATATGAGCCACAAGATGGAGAACTGGATGGGTTAGATGACTGGGAAACTTCTTCAAACAAGAACCAGGTTTTAGAGTTAGGAGTTCTAGACAAGTTTCAACACAGTGGAAGCATCCAGGGAAAGGATTCATCATGGATACTGGAAAATGTTCCTGTTTATAGAGAAAATGTCCTTCTAGGTAAAAATATATTTGAAGAGACTCAATCTGCTACCAAAATACTCAAGAAGGTTCCACTTAAAACTGGAAGAGGTATAAAGGTGAAGGTTTCAGGCGTAAGAGAAATACCAGAGAAGATTCCAGGAGAAAGAGAGATACCGGAGAAGGTTTCAACAAAAACAAGAATATCTGAGAAGGCCCCAGATAGTAGAGAAATGCTGGAGAAGGGTCCAAGCGGTAGAGGAAACCCGGGAAAGGTTTCTACCGGCAATATATTAGTGGAGAAGCTTCCACCAGTTCTTAAGGAGATGGTTCCAGAAGATAAAATACTCTAGAAGGTTCCACCAGCAAGGAGTTTATTAAACAAGGTTTCAGAAAGAATTTACACTCAGGAAAGGGTTTCACCTGGTAGAGGTATATTGGAGACGGTTCCTTTTACTACAGAAATACGGGAGAAGGTTTCAAGCAATAAAGATCTATTGGAGAAAGTCTCTAAAGAACTAAATGAGAAGGTTCTATCTATTATTGATGTAGATGAGATGGTCCCAACAGGTAGAGAAATACACGAGAAGGGTCCTAATAATAAAATAAGACTGGAGAAGATTCCACCAATCTTTAAGGTAGGAGAGATGGTTTCTCTAGGTAAAGCTCAAGACAAGGTTTCCCCAGATTGTGGTATAAAATCTTCATTCAATCCTGAGATCTTTGAGTCCAAAGAACCCCTGATGAAGGTTCCATTAAACCTAAAAGGTGACAAAAAGAAATCTCTGCAGCAAGGAAATTCAGGCTGGGGAATTCTTAACAGGGTTTCACGACAGAGAAAAGCAAAGGTAAAAAAACGAAAAACAAATATTCAAAACCAAAAGTTTTTGGAGAGTTTAGCAATGACTTTCTTGGTTTCAGGAATCTTGGAATGATTTGAGAACTCAGCTGATTAAACAACAGGTTGACAAGGATGGGACAGTTTATGTTCAGGTTTGGAAAAAGCTTTAAAAATGATCCATTGAACCTAAAATAATTCAAAAAAAAACATGGGATTTAAGTATAACTTGAAAACCACCCAGAACCAATGTAAAAGCTTGATTTTAGTTTAATAAGTGATATAATTAGGATAAATTAAGTGGGAATAAAATTGAAAAAAAAAGAATTTCAAACACTTCAGCATTAGAAAGTTTATTGCTCACACAATATTTTCCCACTAGGATTCAAACAATATTCAAAACAATATTTCAAGTACATCTACTAGTGAGAGATTCGTGAAATCATATTTTTATATAATAATTAGTAAAAAAAGATAAGAAAATTTTGAAATGGAATCAAGTCTTTGCCACAAACTCTGATATCCTAATCCCTCTATCTTAGTAACCCAATGTCGTAGACCTTAAATATTATAAACAATGAATTCTGGTTGAAATATGAAGAAGAAGGGATTGGAAAAATTTAGTTTGTCGCAATAACTCAACTCTTTTGAGAAATTAGAAAAATGAAATGGATAGATTGTGGACACGTACCGGGTGTTTAACAAGTCTGTTTAAATAAGCTCAAGACCACAGCGTTCATGTAAAAATGCACAATGGGATAAAGAAAAGAAAATAGTTGTATTTCAATGATTTTTGAGACTACGTTCTAACCGTGATCACTCCCTGGAACATATTTCCATCTCATTTAATTGATGATCTCGAACTATACAGGTGTATATTTAGTTAATCCGCTCCGTGCTACCTTTATACAGGCTGTCAGGCAGTCCGGATCAACACTCCATCCTATATAATTGATCCATGGTTGAAATCCGGTCCGTGCTACCTATATACAGTCCGTCAGGCAGTCCGGGTCAACACTCCATCCTGTATAGTTGATCCATGGTTGAAATCCGGTCCGTGCTACCCATATACAGGCCGTCAGGCAGTCCGGGTCAACACTCCATCCTGTATAATTGATCCATGGTTGAAATCCGGTCCGTGCTACCTATATACAGGATGTCAGGCAGTCCGGGTCAACACTCGACATCCTGTATAGTTGATCCATGGTTGAAATCCGGTCCTTGCTACCTATATACAGGCCGTCAGGCAGTTCGGATCAACACTCCTTCCTGTATAGATGATCCATGGTTGAAATCCGGTCCGTGCTACCTATATACAGGCCGTCAGGCAGTCCGGGTCAACACTCCATTCTGTGTAGTTGATCCATGGTTGAAATCCGGTCCGTGCTACCTTTATACAGGCCGTCAGGCAGTTCGGGTCAACACTCCATCCTGTATAGTTGATCCATGGTTGAAATCGTTACTAAATCTCCATATTTTTCTAAACATGTATTATTGCTTCATTATTATCATTTTGTCTTATCTATTCCATCGTGATGGTAAATATGTTTTTCTTTTTTAGAATTTCATTTTTTCTATGTCAACCGAATCTATCTGCAACCTAACTTTTGCATTTGCAAAGATGTGTATACAAGATCAAATCTATTTTTCTTAGAAATATGCTATTTTGTGCAAAAGTTTATATTTCCAGGAGGCATGAAACGGTTTTCTTTTCCAGAAAAATAACCCAATTATTTTACCATTCTTCGTCCGGCAATTGTCCTGGCAATCATTTTATCTTTTTTTCGGTATTTTCTTTTTTCTATTTTCTCAGGGTGAAAAGTACACCGTACTCAGCTCACTGGGAGAGGGAGGATATGCTAAGGTGTACAGTGCATTTGGTCAGGATAAAAAGGTTGCATTAATAATGATTTTGTTTAATTAAAAATGAATTAAAAGTCCAATTAAGTCCAAAATACACAGGAAATCCCCAAATTACAATCAGCATTTTAAAAATCATTATTGAAAAATGTACTGCAAAATACACTGTAAATTGTGATGAACATAAAACGTACTGCAGGATAGATTACACCGATAAATTTTACTTTTTTTGTGAACAAAATTGTCCGTGAATTTTCAACCTTTCCGTTCGTTAACGGAACATTGCCTAAAATACTACCATCCAGGAAACTAGATTTTAGATCTTGATTCACAAAATTTCCGAAAATTTTCAGAATAAGCTCTTTGACGTAATTTTACTTTGACTTAAAAAAATTCCTGTCCTCTAGCGGTATATTTTCCATTATTTTTCAAAAACTTCCGTTTGTTAACGGAATTTCCCTCTAATTTTTAATAACTTCATTCTTTAACGGAAGTTTTTACATTAATTTTCAAAACTTTCCGTTCATCAACAAAAGTTTCCGTTCATCAACAAAACTTTCCGTTCATCAACAAAACTTTCCTTTTCTTTAACAAAAGCTTCCGTTAATTTTCAAAAACGGCCGTTACTTCACGGAATTTTCGGATAATTTTCAAAATCTTTCGCTCCTTTCGGTATTTTCTGTTAATTTTCACAAACTTCCGTTTCTTAGCAAAACTTTCAGTTGATTTTTAAAAACGTCCGTACGTCAACGGAGTCTTTTTCTTAACTTTCAAAAAGTTCTATCCGTTAACAGGCCATTTCCATCCCTTTTGTAGTATGCACACTGTTCAGGTTATTGCTCTGAAGGTTTGTAACCTGGTTGAAGAGAATGGAAGGATAAATATAAACCTGGAAAACGAATCTAGAATTCTAAACAAACTCAACAATACAAACCATGTTATTAGATTACTAAGGTTAGTACAATTGTCTATAGAAGTGGTATTGGCGCTATGTTAAATTCGGCGGTGGACGATCGCATAGTTGAATCTTCTGTTGTAATATTTACATCTGATAAGTACTCAACAGAAAGTCCAAATCAGTAAAAATGGAATGTTTAAACTATTATCATATAATCCTAATATTAATAGTACTTACTATCCGGCTTACCGCAGGTTCTGCCTTTTTTATATGAAAAGTGAAATTTAGTGTAAAACTACAATTGCATTTCGTTGCAATGGTTCCGTATACTTCAAGCGTATTTCTGCCACAATTCCGCTAAAACCTTTTGGACTCTTAAACTCGTTTTACAAAAACAGGTATCTTGAAAATAATAACTCAATATTATATAAAAAAAAATATTACACATTTTTTATATTGTCATAGAGACTGCAAAACAATTCATATCGAGGAATACTCTTATCTCTCCTTTATTTGAACTTATATGAACTCTACTCTACTCTGTGCTTAAAACTTTATTAAAAATTTATCAATAATTGTTATCTATTTAAGTTCCTTTTTAACCCAAACCTATAAATTTTATCTCTTTTCAGCTTTTATAATTTCAGTATCAGATAGTTTATATTATATTGACTGTAAATAGTTGGAAATTTATCATTTTATCTTCTGTTTTACTATTTACTCTTCAGAAATAAAAGAGGGGGTCAACCTGAGTTCAAAATGTAAAAAATCTAAATCCGTGACTGAGGGAGTCCGGAGAAAATCCGCACTTAAGATTTGGAGAAATTCAGGTTTCAGTCCTGATTTCACAGATACTTTAAAGTTCAATATATTCTCGCAGGACTATTTTAGAACAAATATATATAGGTATTAGGTACGACCTTAATTATTTTTGCCGTATTTTGGGGGTAATAAAATCTATGTTTCGTCTTAAACGCCTCTAAATGGCAGTTTCTGCGCTACGCTTAAAAAACTTAGATTACAAGAAGAAGAAAAACAATTTATAAACACGTTCTTTGTATTTTATCAAACAAATGAAGAAACAAATTAAATATATTTCTCTTTTATAATGCAGAAATGTTAACAAAAATAAGAAGTGTCTGAGGTTATATGATCAGAAAGTGTTCTTTAGTTTTTTCAGATATCCAAGATTATGTATCCGGTCCAACCTTTCAGAGAATGCCAGAACTTTCAAAAATCTTGATGAGTTGACTTGATCCGCGGTTAATATGATGAATTCCAAGGTTTAGATGATAAATTTACAGATTTAGATGGTAAACTCCATGTTTCAGGTGATAAAATACATAGTACATGGTTTGAATGAAAATCTTCATGGTTTAAATGATAAAGACCATGGTTTGAATAAAAATCTTCATGGTTTAGATGAATACTCTATACCTTGAATGAAAATCTTCATGGTTTAAATGATAAAAACCATGGTTTAGATGAATTCTCTATGCATCTATATATAAATTTGGCTTGTTTGTCTGTCTGTTTGTTTGTCTGTTTGTTTGTTTGTATCCAATAAACGTCAAAACGGCTGAACCGATCGGGCCCAAATTTTTTGTGGGACATCTAGGGAGCCCAGGGAAGGTTTATGAATCATCAAAATTTCAAATATTTGTCTCTATCAAAATTCGATCGTCATTAAATTTTTTAAAATTTTGAAAATCCGCGAAATTTTTTGTAAAAATCCGCGAATTATTTTTGTTTAGTTTTACGATGTACACAAAGAGAACATGTTTACAATTAATTTAGAAGATGGGCGCGAAGCGCCCTCTAAGGCTAGAAAGAAGGGCGCGAAGCGCCTTGAATTTCTAGTTAAATAGAAAACTCCATGGTTTAAATGATAAAGACCATGGTTTAGATGAAAAACTTCATGTTTTAGATGAATACTCTATGCTTTCAATGGAAATCTTCATGGTTTAAACGATAAACATTATGGTTTAGATGAAAAACTTCATGGTTTGGATGAATACTCTATGCATTGAATGGAAATCTTCATGGTTTAAATGATAAAGACCATGGTTTAGATAAAAAACTTCATGGTTTAGATGAATACTCTATGCATTGAATGAAAAACTCAGTGATTTAAATGAAAAGGCCATGGTTCAGATGATAAACTCCATGGTTTAGATGAAAAAATCCATGGTTCAAACGAAAACTTTTTGGTTTAAATAAAAAACTCCACGGTTTAAACAAAAACTTGATGGTTCAGGAGATAAACTCCAAGGTTTAGATGATCAACCCAACAATTCAGGTGATATACTCCAAGGTTCAGGATATAAACTCCAAGGTTTAGATGATAAACCCAACAATTCAGGTGATATAATCTTAGGTTAGAAAATACACTTCTAGGTATAGATGAAATATTCCATGGTAAGGCTATTTAAGTCAAAGGTTCAAGCGATGAAGTCAATGGTTTAGATGATTAACTCTACAGATCATAAACTACATAGTTCAGGTGATAAACTTCATGGTTTAGGGGATAAACTACCATGGTTTGAATGAAAATTGCATTGTTTTAGTGATAAATTCCAAAGTTCAGATGATAAACTCCATGATTCAGGGGATGAACTCGGATTAAATCCATAGTTCAGGTTATGTAAATTCCATCTTTGGGATTCTTGGTAGGTATGTCTTGAATAAGGTTTTTTAAGAACATGTCTTGGTGTAGTTTATCACCTGGATCCATGGAATCAATCATGTAAACCTAAAATTTATCATCTGAACCTAGAAATTTATCATCTGAACCTAGATGTTTATCATCTAAACCTGGAAGTTTATCATCTGAACCTAGAAGTTAATCATCTGAACCTAGAAGTTTATCATCTTAACCTAGAAGTTAATCATCTGAACCTAGAAGTTTATCATCTGAACCTAGATGTTTATCATCTAAACCTAGAAGTTTATCATCTGAACCTAGAAGTTTATCATCTGAACCTAGAAGATAATCATCTGAACCTAGATGTTTTTCATCTAAACCTAGAAGTTTATCATCTGAACCTAGAAGTTTATCATCTGAACCTAGAAGTTTATCATCTGAACCAAGAAGTTTATCACCTAAACAACGGATCTAAAGTCAACTCATCAGGATTTTAACAAGTTCTGGCATTCTCTGGAAGGTTGGGCCTGATAAATCATGGTCTAATCAAACTTCTGAGATATTACTGGTAAAAATTCTACAAAAAAAAGAGATTGAAAGAGCTTAGCGCAAAAACAGTCATAGAGTCGTTTAAGATGAAATATCAAGTTTTATGACAAATGTGGCAAAAATAACAAGGGTTGTACTTTTGTATGTTTTTCCTAAAATAGTCGTGTCCGATCACATTGAACTTTAAAGTATCTGTCAAATCGGGACTGAAACCTGAATTTCTCAAAAAAAATCTTTAAAAAGGAATTTTTTCATGATTCCCTTTTTATTATTATTATTATTTACATTTTGAACGCAGGTTGACCCCTCTTTAGCATAGAATTAATTTAATCTCTGAGCAAAAACATTCATGTCTTGAAAAGGTCTTGAAAGGGTCTTGAAAGGGTCTAGAAAGGGTCTTGAAATGGTCTTGAAAGGGTCTTGGAAGGGTCTAGTAAGGGTCTTGAAAGGGTCTTATAGGGTCTTGAAAGGGTCTAGAAAGGGTCTTGAAAAGGTCTAGAAAGGGTCATGAAAGGGTCTTGAAAGGGTCTTGAAAGGGTCTAGAAAGGGTCTTGAAAGTGTCTAGAAAGGGTCTTGAAAGGGTCTAGAAAGGGTCTTGAAAGGGCCTTGAAAGGGTCTTGAAAGGGCCTTGAAAGGGTCTTGGAAGGGTCATGAAAAGGTCTTGAAAGGGTCTTGAAAGGGTCTTGAAAGGGCCTTGAAAGGGTCTTGAAAGGGCCTTGAAAGGGTCTTGGAAGGGTCATGAAAGGGTCTTGAAAGGGTCTTGAAAGGGTCTAGAAAGGGTGTTGAAAGGGTCTCGAAAGGTTCTTGGAAGGGTCGTGAAAGGGTCTTGGAAGGGTCATGAATGGGTCTTGAAAGGGTCTTGAAAGGGTCTTGAAAGGGTCTTGGAAGGGTCGTGAAAGAGTCTTGAAAGGTTCGTGAAAGGGTCTTGAAAGGGACGTGAAAGGGTCTTGAAAGGGCCTCACTATGAAGTGAGAATTATGGACATGTTCAATACTCTTTATTTATAAAAGAGAATGCCCAATTAAAACCTTTAAACATTTAAAGGCTTAATATTTTGGAAGATATCATTGTTTTTTAACTTGAAAAGTGATTAATTGTTAAGATTTTCACTATTTTTTCTATTTCTCTAGTAAGTAGTCCACATGTTGCTATTACAGAGAATTTCACGTTTAATTAAATGTTTTCCTTAATATTATGATCTGTATTTGATATAACTTTTTATTCATTGTTTAAATTTGTCCATGTCCGTAATAAAGAAGTCCTTTAAGACGCACAATTCTATTCTTTTATTAGGTTATTATTTGACTTTTATACAATTGTTAAATTCAAACTTTAAGAATATACAACAACAATAGATCCTATAATCCTCAGTATTAAAGTATAAAATTTTAATCTTACGCCTGCTGGACTTTATTTGTTTATGCAAACTTTACAGGTTTGGATTATAATCATTTATAACAACTTTAAGTGAATTTAAGGAAAGTTTACTTTACCAATGGTTCCACCTTTCCCTAGACCAATTTTGGCAAAATCGGTCGAAGGAACCCGTGGTTAAGTAAAATTAATTCACCAAAAAGTAGCTGTACAAAATTTTATTGTCTTTTAAGATAAAGAATGCTCCAATTTTTTCACGAAAACTTGTTGTTATTTTACTTAATTGGTCCAAGGGATGTTAAGCTACTTAACGTCCCTCTGTTGTGGGAATCATAGGTCGGTATTGTTGATCAAAACCCAATATTCCTCTTTATAACGAAACTGGGACGGGACGGGACCGGGATCACATTCTTCATCTTGATCTGTTATTAATCAATAGATTAATGTATAGATTAATTAAACCTATAGAGTCCGAATTTAATGAATTTGAGCCGCGTCTCAAAACCGCCAAAAACCTGTTTTAATTGAGCGCAAGCTTAAATTTTTAAACATTGAATACAATTTTAAGTGGGACCAACCACATTTGAGCCGCCTCTGAAAGTAATTGAGTTTTTGTCACAAATTCAAATTTTCTAATGCTTATATCTTGCCAACCTAATGGTGTAAATCTTTTATATTTCAAACTTAGATCACTTGAACTAACACAATTCATAGTTTGAAATATCTCAGGTCTACGACATTGGGTTCTAAAGATATAGAAAGTAAAAAATCAGAATTTGTGGCAAAGACTCAATTCCTTTAAGCCGCGGCTCAAATTCTTTAAATTCGGCCTCAGATTAATTAAATCTATAGATTAATTAAATCTAAAGGCTAATTTAATCTTCATTCAATATCATGCTAAGTACTAATCAGATATACCAAAAACAACTGTTTAGAAACCAGAGAATTCTACCATTGCAGGAACATTGCGGGAAATTGCGAATATCCGAAATCAAGATACTATTGCATAAAATTCAAAAGTGCATATTGAGTGAATATTGAGAGCAAGTGATCAGGACTTTTAAATCAAATCAAATCAAATTAAATATATATATATTTGTCTATACATATAGAAAATCAAATATTTTAAAACGTATTTATGAAACATATTTATGGGTATCGCAACACAAAAAATCCCATTTAAGGACACATAAGAAATAAATCAGTTATATAGCATATATAGATAACAAGGCGACTTTAAACATTCCACTGTTTCTGGTCTCCGCGAAGTAACTAGGAAAATTATTTGTTTTTAAAAAATATTAATGTTTACGTATTCTCTAAAATAATTTTTGAACTGTATCTCACCCTGTAGGTTCGAGCACAGTGGGGATTTACTAAAGATGGTTCTAGAGTTAGGGCAGGTCAGCTTACTCACCTGGAGACAGAATACAGAGAACCTACTCCCAGCACATCTCAAGTAAGGAATTGAGTATTTGTCACAAACTTAAATTTTATAATCCTTATATCTTTGGAAACCTGATGGTGTACATCTTTGAAATTTCAAGGTGAGACTATTTGGTCTAACATAATTCATAGTTTAAAATATCTAAGGTCTACGACATTGGGTTGCAGATAGAAAATCAGAGTAATTTGACAAAGACTTAATAACTTATTCAAAGAATGTCATGAAAGTTTACAAAAGTACCATTATATCTATATATAATTGATAAGGATGGCATGCTTTTCTGCTGGAGATAATTTAGGGTCTTTTAAATCAACTCTTTATTCATGATTTTGTGTTTTCTAATATTTTTCTTCAGAAATAATTAAAAGTTCTTGAATGAATTAAGATTTTCATTAAAAAGTCCATTTATGACAACTTTGTTTATTATTTAAATAAGATAATGTTAAATTTTATAATAATTTGCTGGTATGATCATTTCAGAAGGATTTAATTTAAATGTACTAGAAAACCAAGATAAATCATTTGCAAAACAGTTTCGAGGATCTATGCAAATATATGGTTTTATTTTTGCAAACTTAGAGTTTATTGTTTATTTTGATATATTTTAGGTTTGAAAATATTTACATAAATCACTGAAGGAAATATTTTCCATGGTTTCAAATAATAAAATTAAAGAGCGATGATTTTGTATTCCTTTATATTCATAAATTGATTTAATTATACAAAATACATATCAATGATCTAATTGGCAAAATTGTTATTAACAGAACATAATATATGATTGAAATATTTTAAACTTAAATATATAAATTTCGAATTTTATATTAAGCGACTCGTAGATTTTTACAACTGAAAAAAACTTTTCTACAAGGATTTAGATCGCATACTTTCGATTACGATTTGACCTATTTAACAAAAAAGTTTTTGTCACACAGTCTAATTTTCTTAGCCCTAAATTTGTTCAGCCCGATATCGTAGACCTTTGACATTTCAAACTATGAATTCTGCTAGGTAAAGTATATAATATAATATAGGTTTCAAAGATAAATGGATTAGAAGATTTAAGTTTGCAGCAAAAACGCAGTTTCGTTTTCGCCTTTTATTTTATATTTTTTGTCAGCGGATGCGTTTTCATTGAACAAATGGCCAACTCGGTAAGTTCAAAGATTGTTAAATTGTAGAACAAAACCAAAACCAAAACCAAAACTAAAACTAAAACCAAAACCAAAATCAAAACCAAAACCAAAACCAAAACCAAAACTAAAACTAAAACCAAAACCAAAACCAAAACCAAAACCAAAACCAAAACCAACCAAAACCAACCAAAACCAAAACCAAAACCAAAACCCAAAACCAACCAAAACCAACCAAAACCAAAACCAAAACCAACCAAAACCAAAACCAAAACCAAAACTAACCAAAACCAACCAAAACCAAAACCAAAACCAAAACAAAACCAACCAAAACGCGATTGAATTCAATTAGTTGACATTTTGAAGAGGAAAAATAAAAATAAAATTTGTACAGTGAAGATATACCAAGGTGGGCAGGGTTCTCAGGATATAACTGTTGTGAATCGTTTATGGTACCTCTTATTCGTAGCTATGAGTTAAGTTGACAATAATGTTGATACATGTTTTGTTTAGAATATTCTGGGATGAAGCAGTGACTGGTATTTCAGAAATACATTCTTTCAACATTATTCATATGGATGTTAAACCAGATAACTTCATTCTCGTCAATGGAGTTGTAAAGGTTTGACCCCCCCCCCCCTTCTCCCAAAAAAAATTCCGAACGGGTTGGGGGGGGGGGGGGGTCTGACCTTCGTAACAATTTTTGTAAATTAAAAAAAAGGAATAGATGAACTTATTATGAAAACGGGATTTTAAACTAAAGTTTACAAGGCCCTTCCGGATTTAAACAAAATTCTTAAAAAATTATTTAAAGGTCTACATTCTACCCGTTGCACGCAAACTTAACTAAAGAGAGGTAATTATGCCCTGACGCCGAATTTAAAGAATTTGGGTTACGTATCAAATATGAGACGAGGTTCAAACATGGTTGGTTCCACTTGAAATTGTATTTAAGTTTTAAGATTTTGCCGGGGCTCAATTGGAACCGGTTTTTGGGGGATCAGTGACGCGAATAATAAATTTTTAATTCGGCCTCAGGATGTATCAGAATTTACTCAAGTTTTGATTTGGTATTAAACTTTTAAACTCTGATTTTAACTAGTGAACTAAAAAAGGATAAAAGAAACTACGAAATTGCATACAGTGTGGCATGGTTTGATATATTTGCCGCATTTTCGTATTTTCTTTTTCATCCTTTTTTAACTCACTATATATAATTATAATAAAAATATGCAAAATTGAGTAAAAAAATAGGCGACATTGAGCATTACTCATTTAATAATATATTTGGCATTACAGTTATTACATGTTATTATCGAATTCTTCAACATATAAATATTCATTTTTATATTTAAAAGTTCTCGTCAAACTTTCCGCGCATGCTCCAATGATACCTGAAAATATTTATATTGACTGAACCTCCTTCACTTTCCTACCACACTTTCTTTATTCTGTTGACTTGGGTTGAAAATTAAATTAGTGGTTATTTCAAATAAATTTAAAATATTGTAGAGGAGTTAGAATTGTCAAAGGATTGAATCCGGATAAAAAGATAAAAGGCTTGAAAGTTGAAGTAATAAATGTCCGAGGATTAAATGTAGAACTAGAGATGGCCGCGCTCGTTTTTTTATTCGTTCGTTGATCGTCCATTAACAAACCATCTCGTTGAATTCGTTCGTTTTCGTTTTTCGTTCATTTTTCATATAATTTCTTCGTTATTTGATCATTCTTTCAGTTAAATCGTTTTTAATTTTGTTCAAACGACCTTCAGTAACGGTTCCATACAATTTAAAAGTTCGTTAAAGATTTAAAAACGTTCAAATTTTTTATTTGTTTGGAAAATGACCAATATTTTTGAAAAATTCTTCTAACATTCCAATCTGATATTTCATTGTTCGTTAATTGTTCTAAATGAAACCATCGTTAACAAAAATTTGTATTCGTACAAAAAATAATGCCTATCTCTTTTTAGAACCCCGCCTCCTTGTTTTGACAGGAAAGGTGTAATATTCTGTATAAAGTGAAGCTAACCTTTAATTGTATTATATTGTATAATACTTCCACAGTATTTGCATAATTTACTGAGAGCTCTTATTCTAATTACAAGAATGGGGGGGATATGAGGGGGTAAAAGGGGGGTTAGGATGAGGAGGGGGGTTTAAGAGAGAGGGGAGGGGGTGTCAGTAAACAAACATGAATAGTTAAGTAATTTAGACTTTTTAGTGTAACTGTAAATGCATAGAGTGGCATTTCCGATTCAAATGGTACCCTCTAAACTTATTTATCATAATCAAGGTTGAATGAGAAATTCTGTTTTTAGTCAAAAATTGATTATTTCATTTTTTGGTTTTCTTGTTAAAAGTCCTTGCAAATTTTCTGCAGCAAATATACGATGAAGAAAATTGTCAGAATTGAAAAATGACGATATCATCCTTATTGGAACTGAAATAAAGGTTTTAAGTGAACCATTATCAATCTAATATGCTACTCTAGAAATAAAGGTTTAAAAGAAACCATTATCAATCTGCTATGCTACTCTAGAAATAAAGGTTTAAAGGGAACCATTATCAATCTGATATGCTACTCTATAAATAAAGTTTTAAAGGGAACCATTATCAATCTAATATGCTACTCTAGAAATATAGGTTTAAAGGGAACTATTATCAATCTGATATGCTACTCTAGAAATAAAGGTTTAAAGGGAACCATTATCAATCTAATATGCTACTCTAGAAATAAAGTTTTAAAGAGAACCATTATTAATCTGATATGCTACTCTAGAAATAAAGGTTTAAAGGGAACCATTATCAATCTAATGTGCTACTCTAGAAATAAAGTTTTAAAGAGAACCATTATTAATCTGATATGCTACTCTAGAAATAAAGGTTTAAAGAGAACCAGTATCAATCTGATATGCTACTCTAGAAATAAAGGTTTAAAGGGAACCATTATCAATCTAATATGCTACTCTAGAAATAACG